TACAGGTATTTTTGCATACCCTATTTGAATGAATTTAAAATACCTAAAATTAAAATCATCAAATAATATTAAATGGAATAAATTAAAGAATATTATGAAAATATGTAATCATCCATAACTTTCAGTATCAAACGAATTTAATTATTTGAGAAAAAAAAAGTGCCATAAAAACGATTAACAATTTGTTCAAAATGCGCTCATTAATGCAAAATTAGTTACTTTTTTTTTTAAAATCACATTGTAGGAGGCACAGAGAGAGAGAGAGAGAGAGAGAGGGCGAAAGAGAGAGAGAGGAAGAAAAAAGCAATCTGCTAAAAATAAAGGGAATTGGTCACCTATGTACGATACGAAGTGGTTGTTGATCATTCTCTAAATCAATTTGAAAATGATAATTTTGATGAAAAAAATGATGTTCTTGTTGTCGTTCTTGTTTTTGAGACTGCTGTTGTTGTTGTTGTTGCTGCTGATATACAATTGGAACATCATCATTATCATCATTATTATCATAATTATTATCGAAAGATCGTTGTTGAAAGCTTTTTGATATTGTCGTCTTCTTCGAATGTGATCCACTAATACCAACAATTACTCGATGCGCTCGACCGATCATACCATTCCATTCTCGTGATGACATGGAATGTTGATGTTGAGAAAATTGTTGTTGTTGTTGTTGTTGTTGTTGTTGTGTATATGAATGATTCTTTCGTAAATTATCAGGATATTTGCATCGTTGTGTTGTTGTTGTTGTTGTTGTTGTTGTTGTTGTTGTTGTTAGGGATCGATTATAACATCGATTATTTTGCTTTAAATTACCATACAAATTTCCACTATTAAGAGAGGAAGAAGAAGGAATAGAAGTGGACAATGAATGACCATTATCTGAATTATTCCATAAAGTATCATTAATTGGTACCGCATACACTCTTGTTACAGCTACACCGATATTAGCATAATGTATACCATCAATTTTCTCCTGCAATATAATTTTATTTTTGTTGTTGTTCTTATTATTGTTTATATGTAATTTTATTTGCTAGCTATAATCACACAAAAATTTGAGTTAATTTAACGCAAAACTTTCGTATCAATTTAGAAAAAAAAAGAGCAAAAAA